AACCATGTTGTTTTTTGGCCTTAAAAATATTTAATTAGTGGCTAAAAAACTTATTTGTGGACATTAAAAAAACTAAAAGAAGGTTAGTAGGTAGCCGTTGGAAAAATACTCTTTAAAAATCAGCAATGATTCATATTCCTTAAAAATATTTCGAAAAAATACAGGTTAGTTGGTGGCATTTGAAAAATGTTTTTAAAAAATCCACAGGGATTTAAGGCCTTTGAAAAAAATATTTTAAAAACTCAACGTCGATTGAGGGCTACGAAAAAATATTTAGATAAAATCCTTTTTAATTGAAGGCCTTTGAAAAAAAATATTTAAAAAATTCGCGTTGATTGGAATCCTTTGAAAAATATTTTAAAAAATCCACATTGATTAGCGGCCTTTGAATTTATGTTAAAAAATACTCTATGAAAAAATATTAAAAAATATTATATTATTGAAGGCCTTTGAAAAAAATATTCTAAAAATAGGAGTCCTTTGAAAAAATATTTAGAAAAAATCCTATTTGATTGAAGGCCTTAAAAATAATATTTAGAAAAAAATGCTATAAGATTAGAGGGGTTTGAAAAAAATATTAAAGGCCTTTAAAAAATATTTTAAAATCAGCGTTGAATGGAATCCCTTGAAACATATTTAAAAATCCACTTTGATTGGATACCTTTAAAAAATATTTTAGAAAATCCAAATCCTAAGTTATTAGAGGCGTTTGAAAATATATTTACAAAAAATCCACGTTGATTGTGGGTCTGAAAATATATTTTGGAAAAAATTCTTTTGATTGGAGGGTTTTGAAAAAAATATTAAAAAAATTGACAATGATTAGAGGCCAAAAAAATATATAATTTAAAAATTCGATTTGACTGGAAGCCCTTGAAAAACATTTAAAAAAATCCTCATTGATTGGAGGCCTTTGGAAAAATATTTAAAAAACTCCACGTCGATTGAGGGCTATAAAAAATATATATAAAAGTTTGGAGGATTGGAGGCCTCTGAAAAAAATATTTTAAAAAATTCACCATGGCTGGAGGCCTTTGAAAATATTTAAAAAAATCTTATGTGACTGGAGGCCTTTGAAAAAATGTTTAGAAAAAAACCTATTAGATTAAAGGCCTTTGAAAATATATTGTAAAAATCGGCGTTGATTGAAAATCTTTGAAGGCCTTTGGAAATAATGTTAGGAATTCCACATTGATTTGGGGGATATTTAGAAAAAATTTGTATCTTTGGAGGCCTTTGAAAAATAATAACTATATAAATAACTGAAAAACTTACTATATCCACATTGTTCAGTGATGCTGGAAGACTATATTTATTTTTATGGTCTTTCCAAAAAGAAGCACGTTCTGACCTACAAAAACACTTTCAAAGAATCTAAGTTCATAAATAAATCTCGAAAGTTAATTTTAAAAAATCAAATCAAAATCAATTTTTTGTAGAAGACATTAAGACCCTATTAGCCAAGTGGAGGTCTTCTACAAAATATAGACTTCCCTTAAAATTCCCTATAAATTGAAGACCTTAAGGTCTCCCTTCTCTTGTCTTATTATTATAAATATTCATTGGTATAGGCCTATCGCTGCGTATACTTTATATCTTCCGCAAATATTGCTTATACGTCATGTTGGGTACGACCAAATATAACAATTTTCCATTTTTAATTTTTTCTGTAATTTATTTTATATATTGGCATTTTAATTAAAGCCTTTCTAAAACAGGAGAGAAAAAAAATCTCTCTTCAAGTAAAATAATGGCTCATAAGTCAGCCAAAATCGACCCTCCAAACATATTACTTTCAAAATTGCCCATAAAACTTCAATGGCTCTCACAATTTTCCTTATGCCCTGACCCCGACCACCTGTTATGGATTCCAATGGCAATATTAAAGTTTCAACTTACTTGCAGTTAAGTGAAACGGATCTCCTTGATTAAGGTAATTAAGCCGGAAAGCCTATACTTAAAATGATCCCCGTAACAGGGGGACATATGGTATTGCCCTTAATTTTAATGAACATTTCAAAAGCAAACTAAAAGAAAAAAAAAACATAATTAATTATGACACTCATTGGCAATGTTCCATTTCTAACAATGTTACAGGGTAACTATTATTTCGAGAAGAAAACCAGGTTTCCTTTGGCAGCTAGCCTAGGCTAGGCATGGCAAAGCTGTCAAGCTGCCGGCAATTGTGAGGCCTAATGAAATGAATGACATGCAACAGCTTGTGGAATATTATGAATTTTTATTTTATTTTCTATAACAACACCCTCCTCCCCTCCCAGCTATTAAGGAACAGGAGTATAATGAAAGGAAAGAAGAAAGGGTTTACTAATATACCTTAATGCCTCACTTCACTTTGGCCATTTTGACATTCAGTGTCACCCAAAAGTAGTCTAGTTATATTTCTCAAGAAGGGAGGGAGGGGTGGTGGAGAGGAGGTAATTTAATTATTTTAATGAAATCATCAAAAACTGTTACAAAAATGTCTCAGTCCCAGGGCTTGCTGTTGTTGTTGCTATTGTTTTAGTCTTCATAATCGGCCTAAGGTCTTCTACAAAATTGTTTGCCAGCTTATTATGGCTTTGGCAATTTCCCCCTCCCCTGCCCATCCAGCTGCCCAGAAAACATTCCCACACACCCACAGAAAAATATATAACTCATAATTTTATTATGAGAGGTTATAAAATGGAATTTGTTTTTATTATGGCACCCAGCGTATTAAAAGAGAGAGAGAAAGAGAGGGGAAGAGAGTGGACGAGAAAAACCAAAGGAAAACATCATCATTAGAAACACTAATTTCTGTAACTTTATTTTTATGAGACAATGTTTTTATTGCTGTTTGTTTTTCTCTTTTTTTTTTGGTTCTCGATGTTATTTAATTTTTTGTTATTTTGTTTTGCTCTGATGAAACCATGACCAGAAATAAGTTGTGGACAAAAATATGAGCGTATTTATTTTTATGTTCCATCATAAGTTCGAGCAGCAAAACAAAAACGGAAAATAAAAATCAAGGAAATTTGTTTGGAGGTAAAATCATACTATTTAATGTCGGGGGATTATGGTTTGTTTTTTGATTTCATTTAATTTATAAGGATGCCCCTGAAAGTATGCTACAATTTGTCTCTCAATCAAATCTAAGGCAATATTAGAAACAATTCTTATGTGATATTTAAAAATGTTTTTTCAGCTCTGAGATGATTCTTTGTGGAAAGTCCATAACAATTTTTAAAAACATATTTAAAAAAAATACAATGATTGGAGGGTTTTGAAAAAATTATTGAAAAAAATTACGATGATTTAAGGCCTTTAGAAAAATATTTTAAAAATCAGCGTTGATTGGAATTCCTTCAAAAATATTTGAAAAATCCTATTTGATTCAAGGCCATTGAAAAAATATATTTAAAAAAATATATGGTGATTGAGAGCTGTAAAAAAAAATTTTAAAAAATCCGCATCCTTTGAAAAAATATTTCAACAATCCGCTTTGATTGAAATGCATTGAAAATTAAAAAAAAACTACGTTGATTGGGGGCCATTGAAAAAAATATTTAGAAAAAGTCGTTTGTGTTTGGAGGATATTGGAAAAATATTATAAAAATCACGTTTTAAACAATCCCATTTGATAGAAGGCCATTGAAAATATACTTTAAAAAATCCATGGCGATTGGGGGCTGTGAAAAAAAATATTTAAAAAAATCCACGTTGATTGAAGGCCTTCGAAAAAATATTAAAAAAAAAACCGCATTGCCTAAGGGCTGCTTTAACTGTTAAATTTCGAAGTGTCCCCACAAATTATCCACAAACGTAGGCAACGTATGATTCATGTCACAACTCATACGCCCAATGGGATTCCACTTTCCGAATTATATGCAAAGAGTCCAACATATGTCATATACACCAAAGAATTGTTTATTTTTTACCTTGGGCCTCAAAATTGCAATAAATTTATTATTTCCATATTTTGCCATCTAATCTCGTTGCCCAGCCCATTTGTATGAAATATCCCTTTTAAATTGACTCACAAATCTTTGTCTTTCAATTTAAGTTTCATGAATATTTTATGGCAAAGATTTCCTCTTAAATACCTTGCAAGACACTGAGTAGGGAGAGAGGGGGGAGAGGGGTGGAAAAGGAACATGGAGATAAAAAGTCATTTTTCAAAACCTTAATATCCTCTTAAATATCAATTTAAAAAAAGTAGATTTGTAGTCGTCCAAGAAACCGATATTTATTATGAGTTTATACAGTTCCTCCCTTTTTTTCGTATCCAACTAAACAACCTTCCAACAAAAAGAGAGATGCCAAAAAATATTAGTTTCCAGATTATTATGCATACATATCAAAATATTATCCCTGTTTAAATTTAACAACAACACAAAAGCACAACACACATACATACACGTATAGATTATATGGAACAAGGATATGGCCATAACCAAATAAACAAAGCTCTCTCTCTCTCCCCCTTTCGGATTGTTGGAGTAGCATAAAATATGCAAATCAGTTTTGAGTATTTTTTTTACCTACCATTCTGGCATTCAAATCTTATTTGTTTGCCTTTTTGGTGGTTCCATATTTCTTGGGTTTCCTCTATTCCCAAGTGGATTTTCCGAGAAATGAAAAAAAAAAACAAATATGAAAATGGTACGGGGAAAAACTCGCCAAGATACATTTATAATGAACAACATGGAATGCCATGTTTGGCTTTTTTTCGCATAGGTATGCCGGATATGGCGACCTTCTGCCAGACAAAAAGATAAAAATGTGCATATTTCCTGTTAAGGGTTAACATCCTTTCCTTTAAAAGGTTAGCTGGGAGAGGAACAAACAAAAAAAATAAAAAAAAAATATGAAATTCCGTTAGAGGAAAAAAATTCGTTTTATTGCAAAATAAACATATGTGTATGTTAGGTCTGCCTTTTTGCCAGAAAATTGTCTAGCTATGTCTTTGCCGGCTTTGAATTTGAAATTAATTTTTTCTCTGTTATTTCCTTTATTTCCAGATGATATTATCCGCGAGAAACAGGGCCAAACCGTGTACGTACCATGTCCGGTGAACAAAGAAAAATGCGGCGAATTACATTCGCTGAATTGGTTTAAGGGTGACAATCGGATAGCGGCCATGCTATTGGATGACAGTAATGTCACGAGTGTGGCAGATGGATATGAAGATAGGTGAGTGAATATATTAAAAATATTTTTCCGGATTTTTTCTCTTTTGATTACATCAAAGGGTAGCAAATTTATTTATATTTTTTTAGGGGATTACATTGCGGGGTTTATATTTTATTTTTCGTGGAAATATAATCATATGCCCCAAAAGCAAATTTTATATTTTTTATGGGTCCTTTTCTATTTTTCAATTTGCAAAAAAAAAACAATCTCGATTGGCAAAAGATTACTAGCAGCCAGCTATAGGCGGTAATACGACGTATACTTTATTTTTCGTGGTAAAATAATCATACGCCCCATGAGCCAATTTATACTTTTAAAAAATATTTTTATTTGTCAAAAATGATTTCCGTTGAAAAAAGTCATCTCATATATTGTACAGGGTGAGATGAAAAATCTGCAACTTCAGACTGCTGTCATTTTTAAGTCACTCGTCCGACAGCTGTTAAAATTATTCCACTGACCGCCCATTATATTATTTACAAGCGTACCAAAGCATTTTGGTGAGAATTTTCCGGAAAAAAGTTATTCGTGATGGAATTCAAACGTGATAATGTGATTTCTTTATATTTGGCTGGAAGATCACAAGTTTCTATCGTTCGAGCACTCCAGCATTTAAATGTGAATAAATCTATGGTGTCTCGTAACATCGCTCGTTACCGTGATACTGGTACCGTAGCCGACCGACGTCAAGGAAGTGGACGGAAGAAAACAGCAAACATCAGCAGAAATGGTTCGAAAAGTAAAGAAGCGACTTGATCGAAACCCGCGTCGCAGTGGCCGATAAATTGCTCGTGAGCTGAACATATCCCCAATATTCCATTCGGCAAATATTCAAAAATGAGCTCGGGGTAAAGCCATTGAAATTCCAAAATCTAAAAAAGTGCAAGAACTTACACCGCAACAGAGAGAAAGTAGACTCAAAAGAGCTAAAGAGTTGCTTCGCTTGGCCGTATTTGGTTTTCTCATCTTCTCTCATCTAAAGAGTTGCTTCGCTCTGCCGAATTTTGGTTTCTCCGATGAAAAAACATTCGTTGTGCAGCAGTTTGTAAACAAACAAAATGACCGCATTTACTTGGCAAAGAGGTCAGCTGAAAATGTACACCTTCGGTTGGCCAGCAGAACTCAAGCGGCCCGCCATAGAATCCAATGGTCGCTATTCGCTCATATCAATCGGCCTTGGCATCAGAATAAATGCCGAATACTATGGCGAAAATATTCTGAAGGGTGTATTAAAGCCTTGGGCACGCAAACATTTTGGCCGCAGACCTTGGACATTTCAACAGGACTCAGCACCATTGCACTCAGCATGCGCCACCCAAGAATCGTAAAAAAATGAAGTTCCTCCCTCTATTTCCAGCGCAAAATGGCCACCAAATCTCTGGATACCAATCCGTTGGGCTATTGTGTCTGGAGTATTTTTTGGAAAGCAAGGTTGGCACTAAAAAATACCAAATTTTCGATCACCTCAAGCAAGCGCTTTGCCGGAAATGGACCAAAATACCGCAGAGCAACATTCGGGCAACGTGTGACGGTTTTATTGGCCGCTTGAAGGCCATAGTTCAGGTCAAAGGTGACCAATTCGAACAAATCTAAACTTATTCTAAAATTTGATGCTATTTCCGACATTTTTCGCTTTCATCCAAAAAAATTTTGAAAAAAAAAATAAAATTTATGGCGTTTGACTTTGTTGAAGTTTTTTTATCTCACCCTGTATGTCAGATTTATTTTCCAACATTGATTTACGTACTAAACTTCAAGTTTTCAGGTCTATCGTTTCACATAATACCAAACGTTACCATTTTAGAGGCTAAGTACCATTTTTGAACTTTTCGTACCCATAAAATTCGAATTTCCAAAAAACCCTATGGTGCTTCCACGATGCACTCCTTCAGTGATTCTCAATATACATTTCTAAATTTTAGCTCATTCTGTTTGTCCAATACAAAATATTAAATTTTTAGTAATTTTTGTACCATTTTGGTACGAATTTCCAAGAATCGAGCCTTATCACACGCTTACGCACCATCAGTAACCCGCAAGCAATATTTCAATATCCTAGCTTCAGCCCTTTCATCAGAGTGCTGATGAATCGGTCAGTCAGTCATCACTCTGTTTTCTTATATATAGACAGATTTACTATCAATTTTTAGTGGCAATAACCTTTCGTGTAAATTTTAATGAGTATGTTTGCTGGGTAGCTGATTTGGCGTATGATTTATTTTTTAAAGAAAAAATTATAATTTTCATACGCCCCATAAGCCAAATTAATATTTTTATACCCTACACCAGGTAAAGGTTATAAAGGTATATCAACTTCGTGGAGTATATTAACTCATATCAAACCCAACAAAGTATACATATTCTAGGTCAGCGTAATATTCTCTATCGATTTAGCGATGTCCATCCGTCTGTGGAAATCACTCGAGCTTCCGAACGAAATAAAGTAGGTTGCTAAAATTTTACTTAAAAGTGTATTATATATGCAGGACTTTTGGTATTGTAAAAGGGTCATGTAGGTCCAAGTTTTGGCATAGCCCCCATATAATTGGACCTCCATTTTTTCGGTAATTTGGTTATTTAAGCAACATTACTCACCGGAAATATTTCAAATTTGGTATTTAAAGTTCGTAATATATAATATATGCTATGACCGAAAATTGTCTACGTCTTTGTATAGCCCCCATATAACGGTACCCTACGATATTCGGTATTTTGATGATTTTAGCTACATTATTCACCAGAATTTATTTTCAAATTTGGTATTTGAAGTTTGGAATCGTTACTACAGCCTATGACATAAAATTGCCTATACAAGGCCATGTCTTCTTATAGCGCCCATATAACGAAGTCTAACGATATTCGGTATTTTGATGATTTTAGCGACAATATTTACCGGAATTGTTTCAAATTTTGTATTTTAAGTTCGGAATCGGTACAACAGCCTATCACAAAAAATTATTTATGAAAGAACACGTCGTCGTATAGCCCCCATATAAGGGGTTTAATTTGAGAGGTATTTTTCTACAGATTTTTTTTAAATTTTTCAAGTGTCTTCAAAAGGGCGGAGCGTATTAAAAGTTCGACCAGGCCAAACTTAGCTGTTTTTTTTTTTTTTTTCTTTAAAATTTATTTATTATTATTTTTTCTATAAATAATTCCAAATTTAATACCTTGATTTTTTATTACTTTATTTTTAACAAATTCTCCCCCTTTGTCTTTTCTCTTTTGCAGAGTTTCCGTTGAACAAAATCCATTTAGATTAATAATTAGGAATTTACAAATTGCCGACCAGGACATTTACCTATGTGATACAACATATTTTATACCAATTGAAACGTGTGATAATTTCAATGGGCATCGTGTGGATCTGAGAGTTTTAGGTAAGTTCAAAGATTAATTATAAAAACAAAAAAAAAAAAAAACAAATATTTGTGTAATTGTATTGTGCTTGTGAGCTTGATGTGGAATGCTTGTTATGAACCAAAAAAAAACCGATTTCATAAATTAATTATCTCAATATGTCATTGTTAATGTGAAAGTGTCTTGCTGCTCGCCCAAAACCAAAACACATCTACACAAACCAATTTTTTTTTACCAACATCTAACTGCCATCATCAACAAAATTGCATGCTAAAAAAACAACACCAATGAGTCCTGTTTTTTATCGGAAAAAAAATTATTACAAATTAAAAATTATTCTGCCTGTCACACACCCCTTTTTTTGTCTGTCTCCCAGCCCTGGCCTGTCACTTTGTACATACAATCGTTTATATAAAAAAAAATAAAAAAAATTGCATGTTGCGTTAAAGAATTTTTTTAAGTCCCTGAATCGGTACCCTTACCCCCGCCATGATTGTCTGTTCTGCTCCTCATTTATATTTTTTGGATAAAATTTATTTTTATTTTTTAAGCTTTTTAAAACAAATAAAAAGGCACTATAAAAATACTTTCATACAGTAAAGTAATTTTTTCTTCTGAATAATTTTGAATTTTTTTTTTAATTACTCGGATACTAGTGCCCATCCGAGAAAATTAAAAAAAATCCAAAATTATTCAAAAGACAAAATCCCCTTACCAAGAAGAGCCTAAATACAGGTTGAGATTAAAAAAGTGCAACAAATTCAAACGCCATACTTTTTACATTTTTTTAATTGTTTTTAAATGAAGGCATAAAATGTCGGAAATAGCATCAAATTTTAGAATAATTTTAGATTGGTTCGAATTAGTCAGCTTTGACACGAATTATGGTCTTCAAGCGGCCAATGAAACCGTCACACGCTGCCCGCATGTTGCTCTGTGGTATTTTGGCCCATTCCCGGCGAAGCGCTTACTTGAGATGATCGACACTTTGGTTCTTTTTTAGTGCCAACCTTGTTTTCCAAAATACTGAGTGCGATTGTGCTGAGTCCTGTTGGAATGTCCAAGGTCTGCAGCCAAAATGTTTGCATGCCCAAGGCTTTAATATTTATTATTTTAGCGATAATATTCGGCATTTATTCTGACGCCACGGTCGGCCAAAATAGAGCAGGTAAAGGTCTTCTCATCATGGCAGACCCGAAGTAGTTGTTATCTTCCGAAAAAGCTAGTGAGTTCTTCGAACCATAAAATACTTGGAGATGAAGAAGATCTTCTAGTCATAGAAGACCTGGATGAGAAAATCTACTTCTTAAGAAGACCCGAAGAAAGCCTAGTCATAGAAGAACTAAAGAACGTCTTCTAGTCAAAGGAGACATGAAGAAGGTCTACGAGCTAAGGAAGACCTTGAAAATATTTTTTATCTGTAGAAGACCAGCCTTAGAAGAACTGATGAAAGTCTTGTAGTCAAGGAAGACTTGGAGAAGATCATGGATCTGTAGAACACCTGCAGCGTGTATTCTTGATAAAGAAACCTAGAGAATTTCTTCTACCTATAGGAGACCTAAAAGAGGTCCTCTGGCTTAAGAAAACCTAGAACAGGTCTTATACCTTAAAAAGACCCAGAGAAGGTGTTCCGTCTATAGAAGACCTAGAGAAGATTTTCTATCCATAGAAGACCTGAAGAAGATATTTGAACCACAGAAGGCATGGGGAACGTCCTCACACCATAGAAGATCTGCAGGAAGTCTTCTAGTAATAGCAGGTCTGGAGAAAGTCTTCTAGTCATAGAATACCTAAGTAAGGACTTCTCTCTACAGAAGGCCTCGATTATAAAGTCTACGTTCTTGAGAAGACCCAAAAAGATTCTTCTAGTCATAGAAGATCTAATAAAGGTCTTTTAACTTACAAAAGATTTAAAAAAGTTCTTAGAAGGACAGAAGAAGGTCATCGAGCCGAAAAACACCTGAAAAAGATCTTCTATCAATAGAAGAACTGGAGAGGGTCTTCTAACCTTGAAGACCAGAAAAATATTTTCTCTTCGATTGGTGGTTGCCAGTTTTTCATCTCACCCTGGATTGATACAGTGCCTTTTTATTTGTTTTCGATTTTTTTAAGGGATCCGCCGTTTTTTTCCAACATCATGTCTGCCTGTAAGCATTTTTGTTAAGCTTTTTTACAACCCCTTTAATTTGGTAACAATTTGTTCTTTGCCTGTCTCAAAAAGTTTTTCCCCTGTTTTTTTCTCAAAAATATCTACTAATTTTCCCTCCCTCGTTCTTCTTGTTCTTTTACTAATTCACTCATAACGAAAAAAACAATTTAATAATTTTGATAAAAAAAACCAAACAAAATTTTTGAAACTCATTTTCAAAACATTTTAACTGATTGTTTTCTTAATACAATTCCCCCTCTTTTCCCTCCATTTCAACAAATTAAAAAAAAAAAAACAACAAAAAATAATAATGATAAAAAAACAAAAACCTTTCTCTTAAAAAAATACCAAAAAAAATCCGAAAACAATTGAAATCCGCAATAAAAAATAACGCTCGATCGCTCGCTCGTTTATAACAATCGCTCGCCACAACAACGCATCATCATGGATTAATGCAACTAATTTTAAAATTAAAAAAAAATTAAAAAAAATATATGTGGATTGTAATAAAATAAATTGAAAATTTCCTAAAATAAAATAAAAAAATTGTAACCAAAAAACACACATACATCATTACTTACCAATACACACACATTTGCCACCACTTACTTACCCTTATCTCTCTTACTTCAAATATTCAAATATATTTATGTGCAAAACCAAAATATATATTCTTAAAAAAAAAATATTGAATGAATGAAAAACCATGAATGGTGTTTGGAACGTAAAACTAAACAAATTCGAATTTAACACCACCACAAAAATTAAAAAAAAAAAAATCAATAAAACCTAACAACTAATATTTTGTCATCTATCAAAAATGTTAATGAAACAACATTTAAAAATAAATCCACCAAAAAAATACCGTAGAAAACCTGGGTAAATTATTTTCTTTTTTCTGTTTGTCATTATCACAATGGAAAAAATTCTTGATTTATTTTAACAATAAAATTTTTTGGTTTTGAAAAAAAAAAAAAACAAATACTAAGAATATTTAAGCAATCACTAATGAAAGCATTTTTTGGTTTATTAATTTCATTTAATTTCTTGACTTTATTTTATTTTTAATGGAATTAGAATTTAGCTTTTAGATTTTAGTTTAAGCCATATTTTATTAACAAAAATTAATAAATTATATTTTCAATTTTTTATTATGGAAATCGACAAAACAAAAAACCAAAAACACATACACATATTAAACAACACAACAACCAAACCACATTTCCCCCCCAACAACAAAAAAACAAAAACCAAACAACATTTTGACACATCACCTTTTCATCACTTCTTGCAACACTGTAACAACAACACACACACTCGCCACTGGACCACCACACCACCAACCAACCAATACCAACAACTAAACAATGTCTCTCAATGTGTGTGTATGTGTGAAAAAAAAAACCAAAATGTTGTGCTGTCTCTCTACCGCCATCATCATCAACAACAACAACAAAAATATGCAAACAGTACCGCCCACGGAGATGATTATTTGGGACGAGAAAGGTGATCGCATCACAAATGGCAGCGTCATTGGACCCATGCAGGAACGTCAAATGCTGAATCTGACGTGTGTCGTTTTGAATACCACGCCGCTGCCCCAGGTCGGCTGGTATCGGGGGAATAAACGCTTGTCAACAGGTGAGTGTTTTTGGAAAAAAAATTTAATATATTTTAAATAAATTTAAATCTCAATATTAGTCTTAGTCCAAATAATCAAGAATCAAAATATTTATCCATAAATGTGGAGAAGTTTTATCTGGCCAAGCGGACAATTTTAATTTTATCCAGAAACGTGGATAATCTTATAGACGATTTTATCCACCACAGTGAATATTTTTATTCACCACAGCTAAAAATTTTATCCACCGCAGTGTAAATTTTTTTACACAACAGTGAATATTTTTTTTCACCGCTGTGAATAATTTTTTCCACCACAGTGGATAATTTTATCCTCCTCGGTTCTTAATTTTATCCACCACAGTGTAAAATTTTTTCCCACCACAGTAAATAACTTTTTTCACCACGATGAATAATTTTTTCCACCACTGTGGAAAATTCTATCCGCCACTGTGTACAATATTATCCAACAAAATGAATAATTTTCTCCACCACTGTGGATAATTTTTTCCACCACAGGAGTTACATTTTCCCACCACAGTTGTTAAAGGTGTCCACAATAGAAGTTACCGGAGTTCTCCACAGTGAATATTTCTATACACCACTGTGGATAATAATATCCACCACAGGGTAAAATTATATCCACCACAGTGGTTAACGGTGTCCACAATAGAGGTTTCCGGAGTCCACCACAGTGGATAATTTTATACACCACAGTGAATAATTTTATCTAGCACAGTGGATAATTTTATCCACCACAGTGCATAATTTTTTTCACCACAGTAGATAATATTATCCACAACAGTGGAGAATTTTTCCCGACCTAGTGTAAAATTTTATCCACCTCAGTGGATAATTTAATCCAACACAGTAGACAATTTATCCACCACAATGGATAATTCTATTCACCACAGCGTACAATTGTATCCACCACATTGAAAAATATCATTCTCCACAGTGGATAATTTTTTTTCCACCACAGCGGTTAACGGTGTCGAAAATATAGGTTACCGGAATCCACCACAGTGGATAATTTTATACACCACAGTGTATAAATTTATCCTCCACAGACGATAATTTTTTTCACAACGGTAGATAATATTATCCACTACATTGGATAATTTTCTCCGCCTCAGTGGAGAATCTTTTCCACCACAGTGAATAATTTTATCCACCACAGTGGATAATTTTATCCACCACAGTGAATAATATTGTCCACCGCTGTGGATAATTTTTTCCACCACAGCGGATAATTTTATCCACCACAGCGGTTAACGGTGTCGACAATAGAGGTTACCGGAGTCCACCACAGTGGATTATTTTATACACCACAGTGGATAAATTTATCCTCCACAGACGTAAATTTTTCCCACCACGGTAAAATTTTTTTTTCCATCGCTACGGTGGAAAATTTTGTCTGCCTCAGTGGAGAATTGTTTCCACCACAGTGGATAATTTTATCCACGACTGTGGATAATTTTTTCAACCAAAGTAAATAATATTATCCACCGCTGTTGATAATTTTTTCCACCAGTGGACATTTTATCCACCACAACAGTGGATAATTTTATACACCACAGTGGATAAATTTACCTCCACAGTCGATAATTTTTTCCACCACGATAGATAATATTATCCACTACAGTGGAAAATCTTTTCCACCACAGTGGATAACTTTATGCACCACAGTGGATAATTTTTTCAACCCAAGCAGATAATGTTATCCACCGCTGTGGGTAATTTTATCCTCTACAGTGTACGATTTTTTCCACCTCACTGTATTAATGTATCCTACATAGTCGATAATTTTTCCCACCACAGTGGATAATTTTTCCACCACAACGTATAAATCTATTCTCCTCAGTTGATAATTGTCTCCGCCACGTTGGATAATTTACTTTTATAACAGTGGATAATACTATCCACCACTGTGGATAATTTTATCCACCACAGTGGATAATAATATAAACCATTGTGGATAATATTATACATCACTGTGGAAAATTTTATCCATCAGTGGGGATAGTTGTATCCACTTTGGATAATTTTTATCCACCACAATCTATTATTTTATTCACCACAGTGGATACTTTTGTTCACGGGTGTGGATAAGTTTATCTACCACTGTGGATAGTTTTACCGACGAGTTGGGATAATCCTATCCACGAGTAGGGATAATTTTATTCACCACAGTGGATTATTTTATCCACCACAGAGGAAAATCTTATCCTCTATCGTAGATAGATCCACCATTGTGGATTAAATGCATAGTTTATACACCACTGTGGATCATTTCATCCACCATTTACCATAATTTTGTCCACCACTGCGGTGGTGATGAATAAATATTGGGACTCGTTCGATGTTTAGAATGTCATGAATCAGGGCAGGAATTTCTTGCCCCTCCGACAGAAGTTCCAATATTATTTTCTTTAAATATTAAGTAAAGGCAATTAAAAATTTATTATCAATGCCATAAAAAAATTCTTAAAAATATATTAAACAACAATTTACCTCTTTTTACAACCACCATTAAAACCCTATGACTTCTAAAAGGAATTTAATGACAAAATCATGTTTCAATTATTTTGTTTCTCGAAATCAATCATTTCTTTAACAAACTTCTGTGAAACTTAAAATCGAAAATACAAAGAAATAAACATTTAATTTGCTTTTTATAACCCCTCTCCCCCTTCTTACCCATTTTTTATTACAGTCGATCCCCATTACGACGAAAAGGATGGTCTCTACAATGTCACCGTGGAATTATCCCTGCAATTATCGCGAGAAGATTTAGGCCACAAGATAGAGTGTCGGGCCGAGTCCGCCGCCATTGATAATGTCATGTCCACCCATTTTAGTTTGGATTTACAAGGTAAGTGAGCGAGAGAGAGAGAGAGAGAGAGAGAGAGGAAGAGGGAAATAATTTAATAAAAAATGTACTCTCTGCTCCGGCAATTATACAATTATATATTTAAACAAATTAACAACAATAACAAATTGCTTTTCGATTTTTTTTCTCACCCAATTTTCTCTGGTGCTAATTGCAGTTCGTCCCACCAACATTCACATCAACGGCGTGGAGAAGTACACCGTACAAGGCAGCAAAGTGGTGTTAACCTGCAGTGTAAGTATCGACAAGTTTTCAATGGCTTTCGTAGTTTTCTGTTTTTCTTATATGAAGTTTCCGAGAATCCTTTAGTCCGGCTGTCTGGGAGACAGTCAGTCAGTCAGCACTTCACTTAACAGTTAACCATTACCCACGTTTCCTGTTAATACAATTCCTCGTTTCTAGTTTTTCTTCTTCTGCTATTTTCTATTCCATCCATTGGCTCACCTTTATTGGCCATAATGACATCATCCTCTTATAGGTCAGGTCAGGTTAGGTTGGACGATTACGCCGCCAGCCAGTGGTGTTGCCCGTAAGGTACTGTTGTTGTTGTTGGCGGTGTGTTGACAATGATTTGGTCATCGTACGTGCTAACATGTAATTGACAATAATTAAGTGCCAATTATTTTGTGATTTTTAAAAACGACGAAGCCACTGGGTCCCATCAAAGTGGGAGGGGGGACAATGGCATACCGGGGACTCATCAAGAGTGACACAATTCTAGAAATCAAAAGGGAAACAAAATATGGTATTTGTTGGAGAGTGTAAATAATTTTTTAAGTCGGGGGGAAGGAGGGAGGTATAATTTACATTTGCCAAGGAATTTCTAGGCAGACATTAAAGCCAAAGTAATGGCATTGAATTGGAATTTTAAGGGCTTCATTAAATTCCAGGTGGAAGGAATATTGATGGCTTAATTGAAAATTAGAAAAATTGTTAATTAATGAAACATACGCCCAAGATTTATTCCAGAAATTTTATTTAGAGAGGTCATCAAAAAAATAATATATTAATACAAAAAAAAAAAATAAATAAAATTAAAAAAAAATGAAGTAATAAAAATAAAAAAAATAATAATAAAAAAATAAAGATAATATAAAAAACAAAAAAAAATTGTTCAAAATCCAATGTTTCTTAGGCGGCTTATACTAAACTATACTAATTTAAACTACAGTTTTCTACAAAATAGGCCCCAGAAAATTTCAAAATATTTATTATAAAATAACCAATCATATCCTTTTTAAAAAAATCGATTATAAAAACTGGATATTATTAATATTTTTTTTTTTTTTTTAATAAAAAATATTTAAAAAAAAGTACTCTAAAAATCAAAGCTCATAACAAGAACATCCTGAAGAGGAATATCTAATAAATAACCAACTCATTATTAGTTTTCGCCACTCTTGAAAAATACAATCGTACATCAATAAATATCCTTTGAAAAATTCGTAAGAGTCTTTATTTTTTAAAAGTATTCAAAGGGATATAAGAGGGAATTTTTCAAAGGTTTTTCCTCTCGGGTGAGAAGATCAAGATTTTTTTTAAATTCTATTCAAGTACTCTCATGAAAAAAAGCCTTGGTAATTTAAGAATATTTTACAAGAATTTCAAAGGATATTTTCCTTGAAAGCTTTTCAAAAAATATTATTAAAGTTGTCAGTAATTTGGTCCTGAGAATCTTGAGTAATATTCTTAAAATACACATGTCATTTAAAATTAGGGTTCCTGGAAAAACTGAATTTTAATAAATCTTGAATTTCTCGCCCTAGGGTAAGAGAGGGGCTTTTAAGGATTTTTTAAAGAATTTATAGGGATGTAAGTTTTCCTGATGGTTTTCCCCGAGAGTCCTTTGTAACATATTCTTACAATAACCCTAACTATTTTTAATGAGGGTCCAAATTTTAAAAAAAAAATCTGAAATTATCCGCCCTATAGTCCTTGAGAAAAACTCTTGAAAAATTCCCTGTTACCTCCCTATGAGTTCTTTAGGGATTTGGGATTTTTTAAAGGATTTTTAGGGATGTAAGAGTAAATTTTCCTGATGGTTTCGCATGTGAGTCCTTTGTAACATATTCTTACAACATATTTTTAATGAGGGTCCAAAATAAAAAAAAATTGACCTATGGTCCTTGAGAAAAACTCAAAAAAAAAAATCTGAAATTATCCGCCCTATAGTCCTTGAGAAAAACTCAAAAAAATCTGAAATTATCCGCTCTATAGTCCTTGAGGATAACTCTTGAAAAATCCTCTCTTACCTCCCCATGAGTTCTTTAAAAAAATATGTACTCGTAAGGATTTCTAAAATTATTTATAGGCATGTAAGAGTGGATTTTTCAAAAGTTTTTCTCGGGGACAGTCGGGCAAGAAATTCTGATAGTTTTCCCTGAGGGTCCTTTAAAACACGTTCCTAAAATACTTTCAGCTATTTTAAAAAAGGGCCCTTTAAAACTTGTTTTTAAAAAATCTATAATTTCTTGCCCTAGAATCCCTGGGGAAAATTTTGGAAAAATCTCCTTTTGCCTCGCCACGAGTTCATTAAAAAATAAGGAGGGTCCAATATTAAAAAAAAATCTGAAATTATCCGCCCTATAGTCCTTGAGAAAAACATTAAAAAATTCTATCTTCCCTCCCCATGAGTTCTTTAAAAAATAAGCACTCTTAAGGATTTCTAAAATGATTTATAGGCATGTAAGAGTGGATTTTTCAAGAGATTTTTTCTCGGGGACACTCGGGCAAGAAATTCTGACAGTTTTCCTGTTGGTCCTTTAAAACTTATTCCCAGAATAAATCCAGCTATTTTAGAAAATGGTTCTTTAAAACTAGGTTTTAAAAAAATCTATAATTTCTCGCCTTAGAGTCCTTGAGAAAAACTCTTAAAAAAATCCCCTGTTATCTTCCTATGAGTTCTTTGAAAAAAAGGGACTCTTAAGGATTTTTTTAAAAGATTTTTAGAAAAGTAAGAGCGGATAAGAGGGGTTTTCTCAAGGATTCTCGGGAGAGAATTTCTGAAAGTTTTCCTGGAGGGCCTTTTAAAATACATTCTTAAAATAATCCTGACCAATTTCAATGAGGTCCCTTGAAAAAATAATTTGTAGAAATGTTGAATTTCTCGCCCTAGAGTCCTTAAGAAAAACTCTTGAAAAAAATAAGGACTTTTAAGGATTTTTAAACTATTTATAGAGATGTAAAAGCAGATTTTTAGAGCGATTTTTCAAGAAGATTTTTCCATTATAAAAAGTACTAAAAAATCCAAAATAATGGATCTGATAGACCTTCAATAAAATTAAAAGTCCCTTAGAAATAAATAAATGAATTGCAGTTTAGATTATTCTCCAAAAAAATACTTGATAACAACTTTGCATAAATTCCCTGAAAAATCTTTAAATAATTGACAATCATTCATCTTTAGCCTTTAAAAATCGCCTACAATTCAGGACTGTAATTAGAGCTGTATAAATGAATCATATTTCTTCGAAAAGATTTTCAACCTACCCAAAATGGAAACTCAATCCTTCAAAAATTATATTAAAAAAAAAATCCAGTGAGAATCCTTTAAATAATATTTTAAAATTTCTTTTTGTTTTCTTTTAGGTCTATGGAGCCCGTCCCCCAGTTAACCTGACATGGATGAATGCCACACAGACCATAGATCCAGCCGATAATGATTTGACAGAAATTCGCACCAAGGCGGTGAGTATTTTTTAAATCTTAATTTTATTTTTTCATTTACTTATATTTATATATTTTGTTTTTTAAATAATTCATATAATTTATATATTTAACTTATTATATTTTTTATTTATTTTTTTATTATTATTTTTTAACTAATCTTTGAAAATTTAAAATCTCCTTTCAGATCGAACAAGCCGACGGCACATTCTATACCCAATCAGATCTGCTCTTCAATGCCACACGTTTTGAAAATGACAAAGAGTTTCGCTGTGAGGCTGAAAATATTGTTACCAAAATGAATGGTGAAAAGCCATTCCAGGCCCTACTGGGCTTGGAGGTGTTCTGTAAGTTTTCTGAAAATTACTAATTATTACAACTTATTCCTTTCAAATAATCCCAGATGATTAGAATGTAAATCTAACCCACTTTCCTAACCATTTACTTGTAGATCCCCCTGTCATAACGCTCAATCCCCTCAATGCCACAGTGAACACCGGAGATAGTGTTCTACTCTATTGTGATTATGTGGCAAATCCGGCCACTCTGAAAAGTGTTGTCTGGTAAGTAGCTCACAAGGCAATTATGTGTGTTTGGGCTTGGGTGGGGGCTCTTTTTAATTTATAAAAATTGTTTAGATTTTAAATATTTTCCGAAAATTACAAAATGCTTTTTCAAAACTTCGAAATTACTTTTCATTAACTTCTATGGTCTCTGTAAATCCCACACTGCTCATTTCCCAGTGGTGGTGATGGAGGTGCTGCTGCTGCTGGTTTCGGGGCCAGTTGTAGAGATAGAAATTCTAATTAAAAGCAAATATAACATGGCTCACAACATAAACACTAGCATGTGGGATGCCCGCACGCACACATTTAAACAGCTGCCCACACTCTCCCAAACAGATGACAATGCACAAAACTAACAATTATTTGTGTGTGTAGGACTAACTGTCCTCAACCCACCTGCCTCTCTCTTCTTGCTCTCTCAACAACCACATTGGACATTTACTCTACAGCTCTACGGCAACTAGAGTTCTGGGAACAATAACGATTGTTCCACATAAACGGGCTATCATCATCTATTATAATTGTTAGACAGGATTTTTACTGCATTGGTATTGGAATGCACACATGCATGTGGTAATCATACGCACACACCTACACACATGAGTCAATTTCTCCCACAGAGAGAGAGAGGTGCATAGAACAGTTGTTGGCCAATGTTACCATGGACACGGAAACTGATGAATAAAGTGCATGATTGTGGTAATATGCGAAAGGGAATGTAGAAGTTAACATTTTTTTGGAAAAATAATTCAAAACGCCCAAAAGTATGCTTTAGAAATTAAATATTGAAACAATTATCAGCAAATCAGAAATATATGACAGATAAAAATTAGAGTAAAAAATAAACTACTAAGAAGGGATTTCATTAATATTTTGGTGTTTTAGTTTTTTTTTTGAGAAGCCTAAAAATATGCAGCAATAATTGTTTATTGTAATTTCCTATCGTCTATTTATTGAAAGGGATTTTTGGTTGCAAATATTACTTATATTTGATACTTAAAGCGTTTCCTAAAAATATGCAGGATGATATTAAGAACCTGCCTTAAAATTTTTTAAGGATCTTTAATAGGGAAAGGTATTTTTTAGACATTTTACAGAGCTTTTAAATGGCATTATATATTAATAATTTCCTCAGAGAAAGGATCCTATTAAGCGTTTACTAAAAACAAGCGGGATGCTATTAAAGACCGTCCTTAATTTTTTTTAAGGATCTTTTATAGGAAAGTGCTTTGTTTGGCACTTTTACAGGGCTTTTTCAATAATTTCTTATGAAAAAGGATACTTTTAACAAACTTTTTTTTTGAAGAAAATCAAAGAGAATACTCTTATTGAAAAATAACCCTTTTAAGTATAAAATAGAAAATATCCTTCAGTGATCTTCAGTCATCTGAAATAACCCTTTTAAGGATAAAATAGATAATATCCTTCAGAGATATTATCTTTCGAGAATCCCTTTTATGAAAAAAAAATTTATTTAATGGAACTACTTTCTGAGGATTCGTTCTCCGAAAAGGGTTTAAGTAATCCATCGCCTGCGAAATGTTTAAGAATTCTTTCTCTAAGAAAGAGCGCTTTTAAGCATCCTTTCTCAAATAACTGATGATTTTGAAGATAATTGCCTAAAGAAATTATGGGTTTGAAACCCAACCATCGAAAAGACGATAAATCGTAGTAAGGATACCTTTGAGAGTCCCTTTTTCCAAAAAAAACTTATTTTAGGAGCTTATTCTCAAAGAACACTTCTCTGAAGGACCTTTTTTTATAGAATATCGGTTTTTAATAGTTCTATTAGTGAAAATTCCGGTTTCGTTGGAAATATTGCTAGATTAACATACCTAAAGAGTTTCCTAAAAGTATGCAATGTAATCAAAAATCCCAAAAGTATGCTTTGTTTTAGTTAACAGAAACCTTATAAGAATATTTATGGGACATATGCCCAGAGCCACGGTTGAAATTAATATCCGCCATCAGACAAGTTCGAAATACATGACAGTTTAAAGCTATAGTAAATATGAACAACGTCTGATCGAATTCATCATTATTTAGGACTTTTAATTTCAAAATCAAAATAAAATGCAGCAAAAATCAATTTTTGTAATTTTTAGGATACAGCTATTGCCTCATTTCCTGGAAGGGGTTTTGGTTATAAAAAAATACCACATTTGAATACCTCGGGAATTTTCTAAAATATGTACATTCAGCTAAAACCCTAAAAGTATTTTCGGTTTTAATTTACAAGATATTATAAAGATTTTTATGGAGTCACTGTTGAAATTAAAATCTGCCATCAGACATGTTGGAAATATATGGCAGCTCAAAGATATAGTAAATATAAATAATATCTAATGGATTTCATCAACATTTAGGACTTTTAGTTTAAATTCATTATTGAGCCTAAAAATATGCAGTAAAAATAAATTTTTGTAATTTTTGGTATACCGCTATCGCCTTATTTTCTGGAAGGGGTTTGAATGCCTAAACAGTTTTCTGAAAGTATGCCAATTCAGCTAAAACCCCTAAAAGTATGCTCGGTTTTAATTTACAGAAACATTCTATAGGTCCGCTATATGACAGGAGCCGCCTTTGGTATTAAAATCTGCCAAAATACATTTAAGATATATATGACAGCTTAAGGCTATACTTCTAATGGATAACATAAACCTGTAGGACTTTTTGTTGGGAAAATGTTTGAGACGCCTAAAAAATACAGCAAAAATTTATTTTTGTAATTTGAAAAGCAACTATCCCCACATACCTCGAAAGGGTTTTTGGTTCTAGGGTGAATCCTTCCACCAGTGAACAGCGACGGTCGATCGAAATTTGTCCATTGTAAGGAGGTGTCCGTCGATCTCCTTTTGTTACATTTTGTTAAAGAAACAAATAAATAAGAATTTTTAAACTTTTTAATTCAACCTCCCACTGAGGTCCGTTCCTCCTTCAAATGGACAAATTTCGCTCGACTGTCGCTGGCCACTGTTGGGAGGTTTCACTGTAAATGGAACTAGTTTTCAATACCTTAAGAGTCTCCTAAAAGAATGCTATACTATCTAAAATACCAGGTTTTAATTTACAGATAAATGTCGCTATAAAGAGCGTTTCCTAAATTTTTCATTTTTTTAATTTACTCTCAAAGAGAAAACTGTAACTTCTGTGTCCTGCTACAAAATTTCCCATTTCCCCATCAATTTTTTTTAATAAATTTTCCTCGGCAAACCACGTCTCTGTTCACTGTTGGGAGGTTTTACTGAAAATGGAACTAGTTTTTAATACCTGAAAGAGTTTTCTAAAAGTATGCTATGCTATCTGAAATTCCATGTTTTATTTTGCAGAAAAAGGTAGCTTTAAAGAGCGCTTCCTTCAATTTTTAATTTTTCTTTTATTTACTCTCAAAAAGAATATTCTTAATTATGTGTCCTGGTTCCAAATTTACCCATTTCCCCATCAATTTTTTTTTTTAATAAATTTCCCCCAGCAAACCAAGTCAATTTTCCTTCTACGAAAAAGTTTAATTAAAAATTTAGTAATTCTGGTTTTTTTTCTTTTTGGGTAACTTCAACATTTGTTTCAAGCCTCAAAACAGGAAGTCAAATGGAGAAGAGGAGGAAGAAGAGGATACCTCAGAAAAAAAGTCAAAATATGAAATAGTTAAAAAACCAACACATGCACTTGTTGTTGTTGCCATTTTTCGTTTTGTGTCACTTATGTGTGAACAACGTTAGATTCTTAACAAGTTAGTTTTTTTCTTTCTTTCTTTTTCCACTGGCTTTGTCAGGCTGCCGGCAATAAAAACAGCAACTACAACAATAACACTCATGTGCACACTAATTGAAAATGCCACAAAAGCATGTGGCACATTGCACAGGCAGTTAAAAGACAAGACAGTAACTGCCAGCAATCATCACCAACAGAGGCCGAGGCAGCAGCAGCTGCTGCTTCAGCTGCAGTGGCAGTGGCAACGGCAACCGAAAACTTTCTGCCCACAATCAACTCCACAAATTGACAAACATTTTTGGAAATCCTTGAGAAAATTGAATTCACTCATTCACAGCAACCGGTGACAAGGACTAGAAACTAACGAAACACACACAGACACATGTGTGTTTATTTCACACACTTGGAATACTTTGCCAACTCTGGCTTAGTTCCTTGCAACGTCATCATCATTCTCTTTAACAGATGATGATGTGGAAGACTTGCAGCCACTACAAATGGTGGCTACAAATATGATGATAACATTTTAGTCTTTAGTTTTCCTTGGTGACTTTTTTCACTTCTTTTGTGGAAGACAAGCTCAATCCTCACATGTAAATCAAAAGGAAGCAAGACCAAGAAAAAAAAAATCTAAAGGAAAATGCATGTAGCATTTTTCCCAGGGAAATCTTAACATTTCCATCAAAATGTCTACGCCAAGATTTGGAACTTCATTTGCAAAAATGCACATTTGAGACCAGCAGCAGCAGCAGATGTGTGTCATTCCGTCCAGGACATGTGTATGTAAAAACATACACACACACACACACACATGTATGACACAACTCATTTGCCTTCGGTTTCATGTATTTTCATTGCATGCAACATCATGCGATAATAAAATATATTTGACACAAATATGTCCGACTGACTGTCTAAATGTCTAGTTGTGGGACATTTTTAACCAAACTTATGTAACGGCATTACAACATGCAAGCGTTGAACACAACCACAACAGAATAGCAGAAGCAGTAACAACGACAAATGTGGAAGACAGCGCAAGAAGAGTCTTAAGGATTCTTTTGAGTCTTAATTATGGAAGAGATTGCAAACTAAAGTCATCACCATAAGTTGGCTTTCGTATGTGTGAATGTGTGTTGGTGTGTCATGCCATACGTTACCATCCAGCCTTTAGTTTTAGTTGTTTTTTCTCATCTCTTGTTCTTTGTTTTTATATACGTCCTTCAACTGTTGTCATTGTTGCTGTTGCTCTTCCTTCCTTCTCACTAATGATAGAATGAAAATTG